CGTCCTGGTATGGGACTCATCAGTGGCAGTGCGCATCCACGACTCCTGCACCTCGCAGGATTCGAACCCGGGACCTTCGATCTTGTGCGCGAACGCCTAACCTCTGGATTACTGTGCCAGCATCTAACGATATTAATGTCTAACTCTGACTGAACCTTGACTATTTATTGTTTATTCTACTACTGAGAATGTAAATTTGGTACGGAAACATACATTTATTCACTTTGTATATTTTTAAAATTTTAAGAAACATTAATTAGTGGTCTGAATTTTTTGTTCGATAATCAATTTATTAAAATGAAGTGAAGTGCCGTAAATTTTCAATGTACCTCATCAAAATGTACTGACTAATCATCACTAATTTCGTGAAACAATTCTCTAAGTTCTAGTGAGAAGCCATGCCTAGTGGAATTCAATGCTGTCGAGTGTAGGTAGACAGCTACCTACCGAAGATAATGGGACAGGTTATGCAATACATTAGTTTGTTTGAATACAGACATCAACACCGTTGGATGCCACCGGCTCACTTGTCTGAAGGTTAGGCGTTCGCATAAGCGACGGAAGGTCTTGAGTTGGGTTCCTACGAATAAGTATCGTGGATGCTTACTGTCATTGATGAGTCCCATAATAGAACTTGACCACCGTTCAATACTTTTAGGTTTCTAATCGTAGTCTAACAATACAATTAATTAATGATTTCAATGAAATTGAACAAACTCATAAATAATTTATTAACCTACTTACTCTCTTAAATGCTTGTCAATTATTATCAATTATATTGGGCGGCCAAACCAAAACATGGCACAAATCCATGAAGTCACTGACAAGTGGACTGAGTCATGTTGGTAGATGTAGGCTACCACCTGGTTGGAGTCCGCGAGACGATAGTCACCGATGGTTAGAGACCTTGAATAATGACATGGCTCAAAATCGTTTGCAATGACTCAGGTGCATCCACTCTTTGTGTTCTATGAAATTCTAAGCTTCTGCATTCCTCATAATCTCTACCTTTATCCTTCTAAATTTATCTTACTGAATTATACTTCTCGAATCATATCTTTGCTCCCTAATCTTATCCATTGCTGATAATACTTCTATTATTGCTATCATTCTTGGATTTGAACTGACAGTTACGTCTCTGTGCTGATGGGGCATGGCAACCTGAACTAATGTACTTATGTACGAAGTTCTGCGTTGTATCTGTTTGTCTATTGATATACAATCAAAGTTAGTGAAGCTATAAATTTTTAGCGCTATAAAGTTCACTTGTATAATGAATGGTTCTATGCAAAAAAAACAATCTTTATTATCATATGAATTCATTGATCAATCATTTATATTACTTAAACATGCTTACACAGTAAGGTGGATTACTTTTTCCCATAAAAATAAAATTTTCATCAATATTAGTTATCATATTTATAACACGATGGATGATTCATCCATCAGATGAAATAGGATGTAAACATTGATTTTATTTCAACAACAACAATAATAATAATAAATGTATGAACACTATGGACGACATATGTCACTTTTTCTCTCTCTCTCTCTCTCTCTATCTCATACATCATATATCATGCTGCAGACGATACTTATTGATCCACTAACACTATACAACTACTATGAAAATTATAAGTAGTATATGTCAAGTGTGTGAAAACAGTAGCTGTTACCCAGGTATGGTGGTAGAAAATCAGAAAATCATACGCCTGCGCCTACATACGATCTAAAAGTCAAATAATAGGTAAGAAATTAGGAGGGAAACACTAATTCGGAAAGCTGATCAGGTTACCTAATCAGGATGTCAGCCTATATACCGTTGTCTAGGAACCAAGGATAATTATATATATATATATATATATATATATATATATATATATATATATATATAAACCTGTGCTTACAGTTTAGTTTGGTAATCAAACATCCTCACTACCTTCAGCCTTGTTACTTACACAGTGGGTCTTGCATACAGTAGGAAGTATGTATTGTAACTGAGTAAGAACACGTTTGCTTATGTAAACATCACAGTTTTGCTGTTTCCTCTGAAATGTTTCTTCCCCCTTAGGGCATAGCCAACGAAACACAGATATTCCAATTCTTCAAAAGAAAGAAGGGATTATAATATACCGGTTTTGAAAATAAAATAGTTCTCTGCTCAGGATTAATCGGTGCGAATTTTTAGCGTTCGAAAAACATGAGATAAATAAGAAACCACTAATGAAAAGGTAATAAATTAATTGAGTGAAAATTGGCCAACATTCAGTCAGCCAATTCTTCTGACAATAATCAGTAAAAAAGAAGGAACTGGATAAAACAAAACTTTCTACTCGATGCTCAATTTATTTGAAATTATCAAGTTGAACCTTAATATCGTATAAAATGATTATGTGACTAACCTTAAGTAGTTTTCTTGTGAACTCAATCATTACGCTTTTGTGTCAGCAAGATGTTAAATGTCGAACCGAATTCCTTTCAAAAAACAATCCATCACAAGGTGGGTAACTTGATGTATCAACCACTATTAACCCCCTTTCTTAATTCTCCTAATATTTCGTTAACTTGTACTATGAACTTGTCTTTTATCGCCCGACCGTAGCTGGTAACTTGACGTGGTGGTTGGGTTTGCCTATTGTGATAACCCAACCGAGCTATGTTGGCTAGGACATATGTTCCTGCAGGTTATACCATACCAGACACGTCGGTTGGAAAACGATGAGACTAAAAACAGCTACTCAAGGTCTGAGGGCGAAGTCGTACTGCAGAGGGGTGTGACAACAGTAAGGTGTTTCCCTCGGACAACCAGCATCTGCAGCGATGCTGTCTTCTCACAAGAAAGGAAGGGGTTAGAAAAGGTCGATCTTAAAAATGTTAGACTTCACCTTGCCTCATTGATTTCTGTCTCCGGCGGTAAAGCTATTTGAAGAACGGAGCTAACACTTTACAAACGTCTCATAAAAAGGCCGTGCATGACCGGCCTCAAGTAGTTGTCCTCTGGGCTCTACAGTCATGCTCCCAGGTCGTTAAGACCAACACTAATCTATCTTCCTTTTCAGGTTCCTCAAGAAAGACTTCCATGGTGTGGGCAGCGGGGAAGTGACAACCGCCCTCATACCCGTAACAGCACGCGAGACCAAGTTGTTCACAAATAAATCCTTCCTACACCCCCTGACATCTTTCTTATCTCTACGATTAACTCTTCTCACATTCCTTTTTCACACTGCACCGCTAATGCAAACGATACGAGTTCACGAAAAGTTATTCCTCGTCTCCTGAAACCCCGTTCTAGACTAAATGTTGGAGCATTTAATGTCCGAACATTGTGTCAAATAGGGCAACGGGCTTCATTAACTGGGACTTAAGAATCTCGCGCCATCGATGTATGCTGCATCTCGGAAACGCTTAGACAGGATCCTAGTAAAATCATTAATTTGATTTCACCTTGTCAAAATAAAGAAGCAGATCGATTTACTCTTCGTGTATCTGAAAGCCCTGATGTTGCTTCCAGGGGTCTTGCTGGCGTAGGCATAGCATTGAGTGGTAGAGCTGAACAATCTCTCCTTGACTGGATCCCAGTAGATAGTCGCTTGTGCGCTGTCCGACTAAACGGGACAGTAAGGACTCAGAAGGATAGGGACACGCCGTTGCCTCTTCGTCATATCTGCCTATGCGCCCACTGACTGCAGTCCAAACGAGGTGAAAGATGAGTTTTACAGAAAGCTTCCGGACCTCCTCCAAAACATTAAGCGCTCTGATCAAGTTATACTGGCTGGTGACTTTAATGCTCAAGTAGGTAGAATAAGTGAAAAGTAAAGACACCTAGGTGGATCTTATGGTGTGGAAGGGAAAACGGCGACCGTTTGCTGCAGCTATGCTCTGATAACCGCTTATTTCTAGCAAACACTAATTTTAAGCATAAGGAAAAACATATTTTGACCTGGCGACCGCCAAGGTCGTCTCAACGTTGGACGCAACTAGATCATATCGCCATCGGCCACCCATATGGAGGTTCGATAGAAGACTGTCACTCGTTTTGTAGCACATATTTAGATTCAGATCATGCTCTAGTGTGAGCGCGTATTTGTCTACGTTTTACTGGACGTAGGAAAGACACGGCAAGTAAAACTCTTAGGGTTCTACCTAATGATAACAAAACTTAGAATATATTTCAGGAACAAATGAAAAACAGTTAGGCGGCCATGTAAGTGATTCCCTTCCGGAGGCAGGCTGTGGAAACAGCAGTGATGTCTTCTAGTAAGGTGAACTATAAGGCTAGGAAGAAGCAGTGGATCTCAGTGGCATCCACCATAGATGATCGCAAACCCACCTGGCCTTGAACATGACAAAGAGCGAAGTCAGCTTAAGCTCAGACTGATAAATAGCGTGATAAAAGCATGCATTCATTGTGTTCTCTCCAATTCAAACCTTCTGAATTCCTCATAATCTCTATCTTTCTCTGTCTATAGTTATTTCACTGAATTATCCTTCTCGAATCATATCTTCGAACCCTAATCTTCTCCGTTACTGCTAATACTTCTACTACCTTTATCACTATGGGATTTGAACTGATAGTTGCGTGTCTGTGCTGATGCACTATGACAACCTGGACTTATGTATACTCATGTACAAAGTTCCACGTTGTAATTGACTGACTAACTTTATTTTATCTCGTAATTACCTACATATTCAAACAGTGTTAACAATACAAGTATACGAATTAACAAACTTGGAATCGGGTTGATAATTTTACATGTGCAAATTTCAATATGCGAACCTCCTTTTAAAAAAACTTATAATTTTTTTAAGTGAACTAATCTAACTTTTAGGATAAAATATAGTTTTTGTTCTTTAGTAATGGTGGTGAACTATATGTTTCATATTTTTGAAGAAAATAGGCAATCTCAATCTCAATATTATGTAACAAAGGGAGGAAGTACACCTCCTACCTACCTACCTGATACAGAAAAAGCAAACAAACTGCAGTTGGTTCTTTTTTTAGTAAATTTATTCATACTACTAATATAAGTAGGCAACGTTTACATTAAAAAAAAAACAACAACAGAAGAAGAAAAAACATTCCATAAAACAAATATATAAATGGTAAGAATACATATTCTAGGAAAGGAACAAAATTAAACAATAATAGGAAATTCATTTGATAATAAATAATTGTGCAATTTCATTGATTTTATTCGTAAAAACCAACCAACCAAACAAACCAGCATTAAACAGCTTTAATATTTTTATGCATATCTAAACCAGTCATCGTGTGAATTAATTGTGGTAAACTATTCATGATAGTAAATAATTCACTAGTTAACTTGGCTACACCAATATCACCATCACCTGTACAAACCATGGTAAGTTTATCACATTTAGTTAAAGGTGAACTAATTTCAGCAGCAATCTTTGGTAATGATTGTAGCACCATGTCCAGTTTTGCAACATTCTATTGAAAAGAAATAACAGAAACATAGAAATTTTAAAAATTTGGGAGATAGACAGAGAGATACAACGCAGAACTTCGTACATAAGTACATCAGTTCAGGTTGCCATACTACATCAGCACAGAGATATAATTGTCAATTCAAATCCAATAGTAGAAGAGGTAGTAAAGGTATTAGAAGTAATCGGAGAGGTTAGGATTAGAAGATATTATTCAAGAAGTATGATTCAGTGAGAAAAGTTTAGAAAGTCAAAACTAGAAGGTGTTGAAGAATCCAGAAGATAAGGATTTGAGAGAACACAAAGAATAATTGCACCGGCGCCATTGCAAACGGTTTTCAGCCAAGGTCTGAGGGCGAAGTCGTACTGCTGACTACTGTAAAGGGGTGTGACAGCAATAAGGTGTTTCCCTCGGACAACCAGCATCTGCAGCGATGCTGCCTTCTCACAAGGAAGGAAGGGTTAGAAAAGGTTGACCCTAAAAATGTCACACCTCACCCTACCTCACGGATTTCCGTCTCCGATGGTAAGGGTGCCCACTAAGGGCCTTTAAGAACGGAGCACAGAGACGAAACTGTCAGCTCAAATCCAAGAGTGATAGCGATAGTAGGAATTATTAGCAGCAATGGAGAAGATTAGGGAGCAAAGATATGATTCGAGAAGTATAATTCAGTGAGATAAATTTAGAAAGAGAAAGATAGAGATTATCAGAAATTCAGAAGGTTAGAATTAAAAAACACACAAAGAGTGGATGCACCTGGGCCATTGCAAACGGTTCTGAGCCATGTCGTTCAAGGTCTCTAATCATTGGTGACTATCGTCTCGCGGACACCAACCAGGTAGCCTACATCTACCAACATGACTCGGCCCACTTGTCAGTGACTTCATGGATTTGTGCCATGTTTTGGTCTGGCCGCCCCCCCCCCCAACTTTCTTCCAATCTACTCCTACACTGCAAAACATAGCTCGTCGCGGCAGTCGGTGGTTAGGCATAAGTAATGAAATATGGGAGAATTTTTTTGTGTACAAGTTCTCTTCTCTTACTAACAGTAACGGTATTTTTTTCTTGTAATTGGGATTCAATAATTGAAAATTGATTGTTTTAATTATAGTATGCCATCTCTCTTTTTAAATCGGCAATATTATAGTTTTATGTTTCTTTGAGTAATTATTTTCTTATTTATTACAAATCACGTGATTATGGATATATAAAAGTAGTGTCTTATGTACTATTATAAAAGTCAAAATGAATTTAGTGCATTACTCTCAAAAAGTATGAAAAACACAAACAAATTGATCGATCAGTCGATGGAACCGTGATCGGTGGAGTCCAACCCTGTTGGCTGTAGACAGTTGTTACCTACCGAAGACAATGGATTAATTAACGAGAGACATTAACACTGTTGGTTGCTGGATCACTGGTCTAGAGTCTAAGAGTTCGCACGCGCGAAACCGACAGCCCTAGGTTCGACTCCTGCGAGTGGGGGTCGTAGATGCGTACTGCCATTGATGAGTTCCGAACTAGGACGAAACAGTCGTCCAGTGCTTCCAGGTTATTCTGAACTTTTTATTAAATCATTAACTACTATTATATGATTTATCATGCTTATTTTGTTGCTATTTTATGATTCATCGTTTCCCTTACACTCAGTCATCTTTTGGCCTATTCATGTATGAGTGTTATTCGAGATTTCTATTGGTATGATGTGGTAAATGTTGGGGACGTTAGATCCCCAGAACTCGCTTGATAAATGCCTTAATTTGGATTTTACACGTTCGAGCATGGGCTGACCAGTTGACCATGAGATTTCATTTCCCACCAGGAAAATCCTTGGCTGTGATTGGTTGCTGTGTATTTTAGTGTGTTATTTTTGTTACTCTCCCAAGGACGTTTCTATGATGTATAAATAAACGAGATTTGTGTGCTTGATTGAATTATGCTTGCTGGGCGGTTTGTAGAATATACTTTCTGCGATATATCAAGACATGTCTTTAGCCGTTTCAGATCAGGGTAGCCTACCTGGACGCTGGTTCATTGTCTAGTTCTAGTTTATCGACTAAGGTGAACGCATAATAGTTTCAAGCATACTTTGTGATGAACCTAACAGTAAACTATGCTTATATATATATATGAACCACATATGTCTGAAATATATGATTCGATTAATGGAAATAGTTTTGTGGATTTCTGAACTCAATAGGATAGACAAGAAGGGAGTTTTGAACCAATAGGAAATTAGCTGAAGAATCGCATTATGATTTCGTGCTTTGTTTTGTCACATGATATTATTCAATAGTTAAGGTCATAGTAGTTTCACTGTCTACTGACTGAGTGATTGCCTCACTACACCACAGTAGTATTGGTACAAAATATTAGGTATAAAAATAATGTGATTCGAAACAAAGAATTATGAATTTAAAAAAATAGAGGACAGAGTGGAAGTATCTAGTTCATTGTAATAGAATTTTAACCTACTTTTCAACCACTGACTACGACGATGATAATCATACGGTCTTTAATCAGGTGATTTTCATTTATCAACACAACCCAATCAAATGATTTCATGAACTAAGGCCAACTCTTGGTTCAGTCCCCGCTCAAGCTTTTCTCTAACTTGCTACTGAGTTACTAAACACCGTATGTCCAACACTCTTCGGTGTTAGAAAGTTTAGTTGAAAAAAGATGAAAACAAGAACCTATTTGTTAGGATATTCATCCAATATTCTAAGAGAATTATTGGTCGATTCCTATTGGTTAATTCCTTCTGGTCGTCCTAGATATCAATGTCACGTGCTCCAATGTTGTTTCTTATTGGTTGTCGTGACTATCAATGTCACTTCCTATTGGTCGTCTTAACTGTCAATGTCATAGACTTCGATGCTGTTTCCTATTCGACCAATATATATATATATATATATATATACGCATTATCTGTAACGTTTTATGACCACGACCAGGCCCAGGGCTCGGTCCCGGATCCCTAGTTCGGGATCCTGGTTCTCTTCTGGATTCGGACCTCGTGCTTTCTGGATGTTTGTAGAATACAGGTTCTACTTCATATCAAGTCATCTTATTTCTTCACTCAATATGGGGGGTCGGGATAATCGGATTTGAGTAGCATGTCGTGTCGCCCGATTCTCGCTCTCGTTTTCCGACTAGGTAAAAACTCGTAATAGTTCAAGTATATATATCAAGTTGACGTGTTTACATGCAGGCATAACACAATTAATTTGAAAAATAAGTTACACTAATTATTTTACTCAAAAAAACTAATCAATAATCCAACCTGATAATTTTTCCAAGCTTCCGCTTTCTTTGCCATTTGTTCTGCTTCAGCTTTTGCAATAGCATGTAATGCTTCCGCTTCAGCTATACCACGTAATCGAATTGATTCAGCTTCAGCCTCAGCTTCAGCAGTTAAACGTAATCGGTCAGCTTCAGCAAGACGTTCTAAACGGAAACGTTCAGCTTCGGCTGGTTTACGTACGGTTGCATCTAGATGACGTTCTTGTCGAACAATTTCTAATTCTTCCACTTGAATTTGTTGAGTTTTTTCAAGGACAGTGATTTGCATTTCTTCTTCTTTAATTTGTTGTTTCACTTTAGCTGCCTTCATAGTTTTTTTTGTTTTGAATTGTAGTGTGCGTTGTGTGTATGTGTGTTTGAGTGGGTGAGTGAGCGAGCGAGTGAAAGAGGTACATAAGATACGAAGAAAAATATATCAAATAGTATTTTTACCATTTAATTTATCAATGTAATTTGGTATGTTTAAGGATTAAAATACGGCATGATTGCATAAATGGCTGAAATCATCAATCCAACCGTTGGAGAGAAAGTAACTAAGAGACAGTTAAACTCAATACAATTATTACATAAATTTACCCTCACTGGGTAAACCAGACACTATCCACGTGCTGACAGTACAACCTGAACAGTACAGCTCAATCCTGTGATGTAACCACACAGGTAACTGACATCCTGGTTGACCACTTACACTGTGTATGTAAGTATAGTGACTATTTCCGATCCATGATAGCGTCGATTAATATGCACAACAAGAATAGGTCCATTCGACACATCTCGCTTACGTGACTGTCAAACTAATTATTATTATTGTTACTATTGGCAACGGTGACATGCAATACAGCGTCCCAACGACAATGGCCCTCAGAAATGTTGCAAGGCAACCACTAATAGTATCAATGAAATCGATCACCCTGCAAACCAAGTTTGTATATGGACACTTAGCAAAACTTGCCAAATTAATGCCAAACCATTCACAATGTTCACAATGTTCATAGGAAACCTTCAGCTCTATACATAGGAATATAGTTTATGGTGTATAGCACAGGATAGTAAGAAATGCAGCTCAATTTGACGTAAATACGATCAAACACACACTTATTACCCTTTATCTCATGTTGCAATAGCAAAATTTTCATTTTTCCAAACACATGAGACCTGGAGTTAGAGTTAGTATCCCTAAACTACCTTTATTGTTTTAAACAAAATTTCAAATATATGAGATTATGATTTACCAACTGCCTTAATCTAAACTGTAAGATTATACCATTCTTTTAAAATTATTTCAAAAAAATACAAAATACCATCTACATAGAAAATACAAGCAATGCATACTCTGAGATGGTGGAGAACATTTGCACCTCAGGTGGATGATTGTGGTGGTGGTGGTGTTTGGTTCTCTGGGGTGCAAACAACGACAGGTGTAAAGTCAACAGCAAAACCAATCAAGATCGAGGTTAGCAGAACAAGCTACAGGTCAAACATGGAGAAATTCGAATGCTTCACTGCTCTACCTGAAGTTTATGCTGATGATGTTGTTCAGAAAAAAAACAATGAAAGCTCCACAACCAAAACAACCAGCTCAGAGAACCAAACACCACCACCACCACAATGCATACTCTAATTATCACTAGTCAAATAACAAGATGAAACGAAATTCAATAGAGTTAGAAGTAGATGGTTTTCCAATTACAAAATTGCTCGCATCATGTAAAAAACTATTAATCTTGAAGGATTTAGGGAAAAAAAGACACTGGATTATTAGTGAATATCTTGTCAACTTTTGATTATCATCAAAAAGTCAGAGAGATTTCATCATTCTGGACTGAAAATCTTTAGAGGTGTAGTGAAAAGTTTGTTATATCTTATGAATCAAACCTCTTCTAATTCAATTTTTTCATCTATGAAAATGTAGTACTTTTAGGATATTCATCCAATATCCTAAGAGAATTGTTGGTCAATTCCTTCTGGTTAATTTTATGGTCGTCCTAGATATCAATGTTACGTGCTCCAATGTTGTTTCTTATTGCTGGTCCTGACTATCAACGTCACTCCAAATGTTGATTCCTATTGGTCGTCCTAACTGTCGATGCCACAGACTTCGATGTTGTTTCCTATTCGACCAAAATGTATGAATACGCATGACCCGGTCCCGGATCCCTAGTTCGGGATCCTGATTCTCTTCTAGACTCGGACCTCGTACTTTCTGGATGTTTGTAGAATACAGGTTCTACGTCATATCATGTCTTCTTATTTTAACTAAATATGGGGGTTGTAATAATCGGATTTGAGTAACATGTCGTGTCACCTGATACTCGATCCTCGCTCCCGTTTTCCGACTAGGTAAAAACTCGTAATAGTTCAAGTATATATATCAAGTTGACATGTTTACATGCAGGCATTAACAAGTACCTCCAAAGATAGTGATCATTCTCTCATACAAAATTCATACATTCCATCAAAGATGAGTACAACAAAAAAAAATTTAATTTGATCATTCTAATAATAAACTCCTCATTCGACCATTTCACCAAAATAGCAATAGCTACTAGGTTAAGTTAAAACTATGCATAGTTTAATGCACCTTCTATATACTTTAGTCCTTTTTAATGATTATTATCTTAAAGACAACTAGAATGAAATAATTGAACAGAATCACATAACTATAATTTAATTACAAGAAAATCAATCATATCATATGTATTATCATAGTGTACTACTGATGATTTAAATTTAAACACACAATGAGATTGAAAGTAGAATAAAATGTTATGTGATAACAGTTTTTGTGATCTATCTACTACTGACGACCTTGACTGAACTCATCAAAACATAACGAAATAGTTGAGCGCATCAATACATATACTTGTATGTTATTATTAACAAGGCGAAAAATTGGCAAGATAGAGGTACAACGCAGAACTTCGTACATAAGTACATCAGTTCAGGTTGACATACCACGTCAGCATAGAGACACTACTGTCAGTTCAAATCCAAGAGTGACAGCAATAGTAGAATTATTAGCAGCGATGAAGAAGATTAGGGAGCAAAGATATGATTCGAAAAGTATATTTCAGTGAGATTAATTTAGAAGGAGAAAGATAGAGATTATGAGGAATTCAGAAGGTTAGAATTAAAAAGCACACAAAGAGTGGATGCACCTGAGCCATGTCATTATTCAAGGTCTCTAACCATTAGTGACAATATATATAGTCTTTGAAATGCTTGAAATCAATAGAAATTTGTATTTTGAAACTGAATGCTGTCAAAGCAGATCTTTTATTCCTTATGTACGAACATATCTGTTATGATTCATTGTGCTGGGAAGAGTGTTTAATGGAGTCGGTTGATATTCTCATTGTGTAACTCATAATCGAGGTCTCTTAAGTTCGCACTGCATCATAAACTTATGTGAGTTGGTGATGAAAAGCGAATTGAGAACTTTAGTTTAACTTTCAGTACGTAATGCTAACGTTATCACACTGATATAAGTTCGGAGTTATACACTCATTGATAGTAACTTATGTTATAAATACGCAACGAATGTTCATTTATCGCATTTGTACGCAGCAATCATTGTTCTCAATTTTTTTCAACAATGATTTTTTATCGAACTTCCATTATATATCTACAGCTACTTGCTTGATCGATGAGCTTTGCTTTAATGTCTATGCATTCATTAAAATTCATCTTATTTATTCAACGCCTATGTAACTGAATGCCAAATTTATTACTCTCGAACATTTCACGATTACAGCAATTTTTACGATGCTACAAAAAAGACGCAATTGTCAATTGAAATCCCATAGTGGTAGAGATAGTAGAAGTATCACTGGTAATGGAGAAGAGCCAAGCTTAGTCAAAGAAACTCTTTCCCTGCTCCACAAAATCTGCAAAAATATACAAAGCTTCAGAGCCAAAGTCTACTTAAACGCATCGATCTATGCTTAACAAAGTATTTTCAATTCAACAACATAGTCTACGAACAAACAAAAGGAACACCGATGGGATCACCAATATAAGGAATCATCGCGGAAGCTGTAATGCAGATACTAGAAGCGTCGATTTTACCAGTGGTCAAGCCAAAAATGTGGGTTCGCCATGTAGGCGACACATTCGTCATTATCAAAAGGAACGAGCTGGAGAACATCTACAATCAGATCAACAACGTCTTCGATTATATCAAATTCACGATGGAAAAGGAATCAAACAACAGCCTATCATTTCTGGATGTACTAATCACCAGAACTAACACAGGAAAACTGGAAACTCAAGTATTGCGGAAGCCAACTCACACAGACGTTATTCTCAACTATGGTAGCAACAATCCAAGAATCCACAAAATCAACTGCATGTAAACTTTGTTCAACAGAGGGAAGACACACTGCAGCATATATGAAACACTAAAAGACAAGGAAAAGTATCTTAGGACTATCTTCCAAAAGAACAGCTATCCATGCAACCACCAAAAAACACCAGTCGAAGTCGTCAACAGAAGCGAAATCAAGTACAGGAACCAATCAACGGATCATCCTACCATACATAAAAGACATATCGGAATATACAGCACGACTACTGAGACCATTTTGAATAGGTGTGGCACATAAACCAACAGAATTACTTCAATCAATACTATGTAGACCAAAGGATAAAATGACAAAGGAAGAAAAACTAAATATCATCTACAAAATAAGTTGCTCAGACTATGAAAAACACTACATAAGACAAAGTGGACGGCCTTTTCAGCTTCGTTTACGTGTACATCAATTAGCAGTCAAACGCTACGACAATTCTTCGCTTATATCAATACACACCAACAACTATGGACATACATTCGATTGGGACAATGTGGAAATACTGGGTAGGGGAAGGACAAAGAACACTAGAGAATTTTTAGAAGCTTGGCACTCAGGCCAATCAGCAATTAACAAACACATTGACCCAATTTATCAACCAATCAGAAAAATAATAGGTGACATAGGATCAAGAAACAGATCAAAAGGGGAATACAATCAAAACAAAGGTGAAAACAACGATAGGTTTAAGGTCAACTGCAAACAATCAAGATCGAGGTTAGCAGAATAAGCTACAAGTCAAACGTGAAGAAATTCGAATGCTTCACTGCTCTACCTGAAGTTTGGGCTGATGATGTTGTTCAGAAAAAAAAACAATGAAAGCTCCACAACCAAAACAACCAGCTCAGAGAACCAAACACCACCACCACAATCATCCACCTGGGCTATAAATTCTCTCCACCATCTCAGAGTATGCATTGCTGGTATTTTCTATGTAGATGATATAATCGAATACTAATAACCTACGAATATCCTCAACTCTTACCGGCCATGTTTCACAGTCATATAATAGGACAGAGCGAACTGATGCGCAGTAGACTCGTGCTTTGGTGAGCAATCGGATATCTCGCCTATGCGATAAGTGACACAAATTGGCAAAAGCCAACGGATTCTTCTGTATCCATGCTGAGATTTCGCCAGAAACCAGGCCATCATCAACACTGATCAGACTCCCAAGATAGGTGAAGGAGCCAACACACCCAACTACTTCACTCCCTATCACTAGTTCAAGTGCCGACATGCAATCCAATCTTGAAGCAACATCTTACATTTCGAAGGGGGAAAATCCCACATGAAATCCAATCAGGTAGTTAAATCATACACCAATGAACAAACAAAATCAACCCAAAAAAAAAGGAATTTTTTTTGTTACCTGTAATTCATAAGCTAATTCTGATTCAGCTTTACGTGCTTGTACTTCTTTCTCGTAAGCAGCATTTTGTAATTCAAAATCACGTTTTGATTTAGCTATTTCAATATCATTTAATAACTTGCCAGCAACACGTTGTTTTTCTGCTTCCGCTTCACGTATACCAGCATCACGTCTTGCTTCAGCTTCACCAATACGTGCATCACATTTCACTTGCGCGGTTCTCGCTAAACCAAGTGAACGTAAATAACCCTGAGAAAAAAAACATACGAAGGACGGCGGGCGCGGGGGGTGGTAGTGGTGGGGGTAGAAGAAGAACACAGTAGAATAAGAAAACAGTACTAAATGAAATCGGATAAAAGATTGTCGTCATTGTTGAAATTTAGAAAAAAAGTTGGACTTACATTTCCACTGAATGACTGAAAGATATTTAGTGGTTGTTATAAGAGAAATAACACGATGTCAAGGGTGTATTTATTAAAGAATCCATAGTAAAAGGTATTTAGGACTTATTTTTATTTTGGGGCACAGTTTTGGAGGTTTGCGTTTTTACACATTTGAAATCATTAATCAATCAATCATTGTTGGACCACCATTAGAAACCTGGAAGCACTGAAAGACGGCCGTTTCGTCCTAGTATGGGACTCCTCAGCAGTGTGCATCCAAGACATTAACACCATTGGATGCCGGCCCAGTGGTCCGATGGTAAGGCGTTCGCCTACAATGCCAAAGGTCCCGGGTTCGAATCCTGCGAGGAGCAGGAGTCGTGGATGCGCACTGCTGAGGAGTCCCATACTAGGACGAAACGGCCGTCTTTCAGTGCTTCCAGGTTTCTAATGGTGGTCCAAAAATGATTGATTGATTATTTTTATTGAAAAAAATTTTCAAATAAATTAAACTAGTGGAAGATAAAGATTATTTTTATCTCGCCTGAACAATTTTAAAACATTTCTGGTCTTGATAGGGCTGTGGAGATTTTTAAGTTTCATTGAAATCATGAATTGATCAATGTTAGTAAGAAGCCGTAACTAGTGGAATTCAATCTACGTCGGGTATGAGGCAGTTACCCACTGAAGACAATGGATAAGGTCGTGCAATATTGTGGAGTGACTTCAGTTAGATACCGACAACGGTGGATGCCAACTCAGTGGTCAAGTGGTTAAGCTTAGTAAGTGAGACCGACGGTCCTGGGTTCGATCCCCGCTTGTTGAATGATGGATGTACACTGCCGACGAGGCCTGTAGCAGGACGAAACAGCTGTACAATGGTGGTTTGACATTGATCGATTCATGATTTCAATTAAATTTTTTAACTTAACATTCGTCTTAAATATATTTACTGAATTTAAATGTACACAGTTTTGACATGGTAGTAGAAAATTGTAGCTGAGGTGGATGATAACGTAAAGCTCCACAATCAAAGCATCCAGCTCGGAGTACAAATATCCACCATAAATGTACAACAAAAGTGATGTATAAATAAAAGAATAGCAGAAAAAGAATTATAAAAACTAGTTACACAGGAGAAATGGTTTCAATTTTTGAAAATAAATCAAAGTGCATAAACTAATAATGCTTTGCAAATATAAATCAGTTCCGCTTCCGAAGATATATAAATATATCAACCATTATTAGACCACCAGTAGAAACATGAAAGCACTGGACAAACATTTCGTCCTGGTATGGGACTCATCAGCAGCGCATCCATGGGTGGGGTCGAGCAAATCTCTAGACTGATTAGAGTTAGACATTAACACCATTGGACGCCAGCCCAGTGGTCCAGAGGTTAGGTGTTTACGCGCAAGACCAAAGGTCCTAGGTTCGAATCCTGTGAGGTGCAGGAGTTGAGGATGCGCACTGCAAATGTGTCCCATACCAGGACGAAACCTCCCTTCAGCGCTTCCAGGTTTCTAATGGTGGTCTAACAATGATTGATTAATGATTTCACTAGGTAAAAACACCAATCTCCATAACTCCAATTGAAAAATATCTACTTATTGAAATCAGCATTAACTGATTAAACATGTATATTATTTTCACTCGAAGAGTAGTGGAGATTGTTGAGTCTCATTGAAATCATGAATCGATCAATGTTAAACAACCATTAGAAACTTATAGGCACTGGACCGCCGTCAAGTCACAGTATGGGTTGGATTCTCGTGAACAAGGGTCGTGGATGTGCACTGCCACTGAAGAGTCCCAAACTAGGACGAAACAACTATCCAATGCTTCCAGGTTTCAAATAATGCTCTAACAATGATCGATTCATGCTTTCAATGAAACTCAACAATCTGCACAATTCTATACTGAAAAATAATGGCATTTATTACTCTATCAATGTTTTATCATCATTAATTAAATTACACTGTAAAGTGTTGTGAATTCCATTTGATCTTATGTATTACACTGAATTAAATCACGTGAATGTTATTCAAATTCAATTTCCTAACAATTATGAGTTTGTATCATATTTGTACAATGTTCTGTGTGTTGATTATACAACTTTTAGAATAAAATTTAAAAAAAAACAAACTTATGTTTACAAAATGTCAACAGAGAGAATGTGTATTAATTCAATCTACAATAATATCACTTGATTATTTAAGCTTATTAATTAAACAAATTCCAATGATTCAAAGTTCAAGTGAACTGGAGTTCAAATCAATAAATGAAAAGGGCGTTCCAAAAAAACTACTTTGAATTGATGAGTGAAATTCATCAGTCAACGATATATTACTAGTTTCCAAACATTAAATGCTTATTATTTAGAAAATTATTATTTTTTTTAGACTTAAATGTTTACAAGTTATTCAGGTCAATTTTCTTAGCGCCATTTTCCCAGATTTGAACATGATAAGCACTAACTCTCCCCCCAAGGGTAGAATAAAATCTATTTGACCACTACTGAATCATAAATATAAATATTCATTGATGAAAGGTGAATCCATTTAGGATATTTTTAGTTGCCATCAAGTGACCTTATCATTCGGACACTTTTGATTTGTTCTGTATACTACCTTTCCCTCCTGAAAAATAAGTCACTCTCCCTTCAACTTTGTGGATACATGTGTTTAAATGAAGCTTGAGGTTTACTTTTGAACACTTCATACCGTTGGATGAATCAAGGTTCGGGGTTATTCTGGATGACTGTTTGATCGTCGTGTCCTCCCCGACGAAACGATCTTGGATAATCGATAGATAATAATAATAATAAAATGGATCTTTTAATGCGCAGTGTATTACAGCTTTTAAGTTTCTAATGTAGTACCCAACAATCAGTGGGATGTAAGTTAATGAACTATGCATTCAATGATATATTTTGGGTAAAATTACAATATACTGACAATTTCGAGCAACAACCTATCAATTGCAATAGTAGTAGTAGTGTAGTGAATGAGAACACAGGTGAGGGCAACCGAATTGTAATTAACGAAAATTACAGGGTTACTCAGTAAAATCGGAAAACCATATTGTAAATCGTTCATTTGCAAAATATCAGTTCATCATATCGAACTGGACTGTTCCTGTTACAAAACATCAATCCATTGTCACTATTCATACGTTTCATACAAATTCCATTGTGTTCTTCTAACTCTTCCTTTCTTGATCTTCCCCCATCTTCTGCTGCCAGACAATACGTTGACACTCACGTCATATACTACTTATAAGTAGCTCGCACCACAGTAGGAGTAATAACAATAATAGGAAGGATTAGGTATAAACAATATTACCCAAGATGAAAGAATGAATTCTCAGAATCAGAAAAAGCTTAAAATAATGTTAAACTCAGGATTTAAAAGAAAAAACAAGTACTGAATACATATGCTCTGTTGGGATTGATTTTCAGATTTCAGTCTTCGCCAAACTCCAATTATTCGTGACAATAATTGATAGGACCCCAACTTAAGGTAGTTTGCACTTGTCCACATGGCTCTCAGTCTAATATATATATTTATTGATTAAACTTGATGGTTAGTAACAGTAGAATTCCAAATACAGTAAAAGTATCATATGCTGACGACCTTGAGTGAACTTATCAAAAACAAAACATAACGACCTATGTATATTTTGCGAAATAGTTAAGCGCAGCAATACATATACTTGTATGTTATTATTAACAAGGCGAAAAATTGGCAAGATAGAGGTACAACGCAGAACTTCGTACATAAGTACATCAGTTCAGGTTGACATACCACGTCAGCATAGAGACACTACTGTCAGTTCAAATCCAAGAGTGACAGCAATAGTAGAATTATTAGCAGCGATGAAGAAGATTAGGGAGCAAAGATATGATTCGAAAAGTATATTTCAGTGAGATTAATTTAGAAGGAGAAAGATAGAGATTATGAGGAATTCAGAAGGTTAGAATTAAAAAGCACACAAAGAGTGGATGCACCTGAGCCATGTCATTATTCAAGGTCTCTAACCATTAGTGACAATATATATAGTCTTTGAAATGCTTGAAATCAATAGAAATTTGTATTTTGAAACTGAATGCTGTCAAAGCAGATCTTTTATTCCTTATGTACGAACATATCTGTTGTCATTCATTGCGCTGGGAAGAGTGTTTAATGGAGTCAGATGATATTCTCATTGTGTAACACTTAATCTAAGTCTCTTAAATTTACACTGCATCATAAACTTATGTGAATTGGTGATGAAAAGCCTAATGTGAAGAAGCGAACTGAGAACTTTAGTTTAACTCTTAGTGTGTATTACTAACGGTTGTGCACATCATATATAGTATTGTCACTTAGCGATGAAAATTATGTTGTGGGTGATAAATGTAACACTTATCTGACTTGTAATCGATGTGAACTTGACCTTTTCGTTCTAGTACAAGGACATGTGAAGATAGATTATTCAGATTGGGTGGTGTTATTATTCCACTGATATTTAATTGCTCTTTATTGCTGTTGATAGTTTTTCATAACTAGTCAACAATTCCTGATTGACTATTACTACTACTGTGGTGTGAGCTACTTATAAGTAGTATATGACGTGAGCGTCAACGTAATGTCTGGCAGCAGAAGATGGGGGAAGATCAAGAAAGGAAGAGTTAGAAGAACACAATGGAATTTGTATGAAACGCATGAATAGTGACAATGGATTGATGTTTTGCAACAGGAACAGTCCAGTTCGATATGATGGATTGATATTTTGCAAATGAACGATTTACAATATGGTTTTCCTATTTTACTGAGTAACTCTGTAATTTTCGTTAAATACAATTCGGTTGCCCCACCTGTGTTCTCCTTCACTACACTACTACCTTAACTTCTTATTCCGATAACTGCATCTCGTTGTGTTGACATGATGTAGCAGTGTGAACTGGATGCACACATTGACAAATTAGATACACAAAAAGAAATTTTCTAAATGACTTCATTGTAAATTATACACATAAATTGAATTAAATAGTAATCTAATCGGTATGTTTAAATGATGAGCATTTCTTTATTTTTCTTCTACTGAATTGTAACTAGATAAATAGATTGATTATACGAACTCGAAACGAGTATTGTTCAATCATGAATAATTAACAATAAATGTATATACACATATATATGCATACATACATACTAATGTTAAGATAATTTGATTGCTTTAATTCAAAAACAAATATTTTATGTGAATTATTATTTAAATTTCTAGTTAGATTTGAAAGTATTTGAGAGTAATCTCAAATTGAAACAAAGAATGCTTAACTGTTTTAAATGTTTCTCTATATTAGGGAATCAATATAAAAAAAAACCCATAAAATTAACCTGAATTTAAGAATTAAATGATTATCTCTTGAACAAAAAGAAGTACTTTTATATTTGATCAACAATCTAAACATTCAGTCAATAACCAATTGCAAAAAATTAATCTGATTGATGATTGAAAATGTTAGAGGCGCGGAATTTCAACTTCATACTTTTTAACTAATTAATTGTTATTAGTCAGTCAGTCAGTCATTGGTAGGTTAGTGTATAAAATCTTAATTATTCAACATAATTCTCAAAAGAAACATTGTCGACTGCGAAATCGAATGACACGAGTAGAAATCACTGGTGAATAGATGTTGATTTCCTTTAAAATTGTAGGTAAGACTAATATAGACTGAGTGTCAATCAGCAAAAATTACAGTTTAGACCTTCTTGTCAGAAACGAGTACTAAATAGGGATGGCAAATCAATAGATGAAGTGGTGAAACTTCAGCAGTCTAGGTGGCTGGGACATGAGTTACGAGTGTCCATCCACCGAGGGCCTCATTGAGCTATGTTGTGAGGTGTAGGAGTATGTTGGAAGAAAGCTAAGGGCACAAATCCATGAAGTCACTGACAACTGGACTGAGTCATGTTAGTAGGTGTCAACTACCTGATTGGGGTACGCGAGATGATAGTAATCGATGGTTAGAGACCTTGAATGACATGGCTCAAAACCGTTTGCAATGGCACAGGTGTATCCACTCTTTGTATTCTCTGAAACTAAAATCTGAATTTCTCATCGCCTCTATCTTTTTCTTTTTAAGTTTATTTCACAAGATTCTACTTCATGAATAATATCCTCAAACTCTAATCTCACCGATAACTGCTAGTACTCCTACTACCTCTACTACTACGCAATTTGAACTGACAATTGCGTCTCTGTACTTATGCGGTATAGAAACCTGAACTGATATACATACGTACGAAGTTCTACGTTGTAACTGACTGACTGTCCGTTCAAGTGATAATCATTGCTATTATCTTTTTGGTAATTCATGACGTTGGTTAACCTGGTCGATCAAGTTGAAATATGGAGAACTAGTCTGAGCGATTCGACATCATTTAAATTATGTTTTAATGTCATAATCTCCTTACGAAAAACTACCTTCAACTATCTAACTTCCAGTTGATTGCTTACAGATAGATAATTTAACATTCAACCAACTAGATCATGAACTCGATTCATTCAGTATAGTAAATTGATGATAATCTGAAGTTATCATGATCATCACAAGATGTAAAGATCCTGGATGGGATTACATCCACAGCATCATCAAAATAAAAATGAAACAGTTGCACATTGCCTTAAAGCTTTAGAAAACAACTATCAATTTTTCAAATTAGAGTTATGGGGATTAGTGTTTGTTGCACCTTGAAATCATCAATTGCTCATTGTTAGTCCACCATTAGAAACCTGAAAGTCATCCAGAGAAAAATTGTAAAATGTGCTCACTGGTGACTAGCTTCGTGAGGAAATTCTCGGAGTTTTAGTAAGAAGATGTGACCATTGGAGTTCAATCCTGTTAGGTGTAGTAGTAACGACCGAAAACAATGAGTGAGGTTGAGCGAAATCCCTAGATTGATTAGAGTTAGACATTAACACCGTTGGATGCCGGCCCAGTGGTTAGGCGTTCACGCGCAAGACCGGAGATCCTGGGTTCGAATCCTGTGTGGTGCAGGAGTCGTGGATACTCACTACTGATGAGTCCCATACCAGGACGGAACGGGCGTCCAGTGCTTCCAGGTTTCTAATGGTGGTCTAACAATGATTGATTCATGATTTCAATGTGCAGCTATCAATTTACAATGAAAATCGTCTTCGAATTGAACAATGAATAATGAAAAATTAAAACAAAACAATGATTACTACAACAATAAATACCTCATCATCTTTGATATCTTTTAGTGTATAACTAACTACACTAATTCCCATATTTACTAAATCAGAACTGGCTACTTCAAAAACAGCTTTTGAAAATTTTTTTCTATCTTTGTATATTTCTTCAACTGTCATATTGCCCATGATAGCCCGCTGATGACCTTCAAGAGTTTCTTGAGCTATTTCACGTATTTCATTGACTGATTTGCCAAGAAATTGTTCACATGCAGCTGCTAACATTTCTTGATTACTTCCATTAATTTTTACCTGAAATATAGAGATAAATTTTTTTTTTTAAAAGAGTAAAGTAAAGATTCATATGCTTCAATCATTGAATGAGGTAATTAGAAAAAAAATTAAGTCTGTCTCTATGATGAATGTAATTATTGAGAATCTTCAAAGTAGATATTTTTAGAGAAGTGTCTTGTAAAAAATAATGAATTTACCGCTTCAATACATATCCTTGTACACAATGTATGCAGTGTCTACTTTCTTGTACATAATTCTCAGTAACAAGCCTTGAAAGAGTCAATACATTAGGCATAATCAACAGTATATAGTTATTTGAGACGTTAGTCCTATAATACTAGTTATTTTGACAGCTAGATACACTGATACCGAAATTATCTTTACACAAACCGAACTTGCACTCTCCAGATTTTCATTCTATCAACAATTAGTGGGATAAAGGACACAGTAAGCGACGGGAGATTTGTGTAAATAACCTCAAGTTCACTTTATTTATTTAGATTTACGAGACTAAAAGCAGTAACTTAAGGTTTGAAGTCGAAAGATTACTGTTGACTTTAGAGAGATGCGACGTCAGTAAGGTATTTCCCTCAGATGACCAGCATCTGCAGCGATGCTACATTCTCACAGCAGAAGGAAGGGATTAAAAAAGACCAACCCTAAAAATGTCACACCTCATCTTAACCCAAAGATTTCCATCTTTGATCTTAAGCAGTTCTCTCCTGGGCTTTGCGGTCACGCTCCCAGATCACTAAGACCAATGCTAATCCAACTTTTTTTCAGGTTCCTCAAGAAATACCCTCTCATGTGGTGGGAAGCTGGGGAGTGACATCCGCATTCATACCCCTAACATCAAACGAGATCAAATCCTTCTTTCACTTCTTAATAACTCTCATATCTCCATGACTAACCCTTCTCGTATACCTTTATCGCCTTGCGACGCTAATGCTAACGATTTCAATACACGAAATGCTATTTAAGCGATTCATGACTTGACGCCGGTGTGGACGAATGATCGAGTATGCAATGAAATAAATCTTCCCCCCCTTCCGTATATTATACTTAGGCTAACCCTGTTTGTGCGATGGCGAGTGAGCCTTCTCCAATTCGCTTCGTTTTGCTTGTACGCTTCCCTTCTCATGTTTGTCTGCATAAATGAATGCATGAAATAAATTCATCCGCAACACCGTATTCGGCTTCTTACTACCGCAGTCGTACAAAAGGGATTAGCCTAAGTATAATATACGGAAGTGGAGAGGAAGATTTATTTCATTGCATAATCGATCATTCGTCCACATTGAAGTCCAGTAGTAAGCCGCTAAAATGGTGAGCCCGACGTGATTCGAACACGTAACCTTCTGATCAGAAGTTGCAGCTATTCGTGATTATCCTTTGCTCGAATCACAAAAGGAATTGTGGCAACGACTCGTATTATTTAGTAGCGGTTATCAAAACGGAGATATACGGAATTTAGAAGATAAAGATAGTCCAACGCCACAATAAATTGGTGAGCCAGTCGAAAGAACACAACGCCGTTTCGTACGAGTTCAAAGGAATATGCCTCCGTCTCCATTCGATTTATTACTGTGGACGTTAATTACTTTTGCTGAATACTATTATAGTATTTTCATTACACGTTTATTATTTCATCCATACTGTTGAAAATATTTTGACAATATGGAACATCGTACGTACGTAGATCACTTCATGTTGCCATACCACATTAGCACAGAGATGTAATTGTTGATTCAAATCCAATAGTAGTAGAGGTAGTAAAGGTATTAGCAGTAGTCCGAGAGGTTAGGATGAGAAGATATTATTCAAAAAGTAGAATCTAGTGAAATGGACTTAAAAAGATAAAGATAAAGTGAAGAACTAAAAAGTCATTATAGATACAATTATTAGACTGCTGCTGTTTCTTAAGTCCGTTCTGTGTTGTAACATTTTATTTCTTATTAACATTATTAGTGTCTGTCTATTTTCCTTCCGTTATTCATTAGTTGCTCTAATTGTGTATCACTTATTTTGTATAAATATGTCTTCAGGTAACGATACACCAAGTCTTTCACAAGTACCGTCTGTGAAGTTCCATAATCTGTCTATTCCTCTTTTTCGAGTCACCGACCCACACCTATGGTTTATTTGACTTGAAAGTTACCTCTCAGTTAATTGTATTGTTTTACAACGAAATGAATTCGGCTACGCATGTGCACTGCTCCCGGATGAAGTAGCTGACAGGGTTCGCGATGCCTTAGCTAAACCGAACTCAGAAAGGCCATACGACATATTAAAAACTGCTGTTATAAAGGCCGTCTCGCTGACCGACTGGATTTCAGTGGCATCTACTGAATTGATAGACGCTCGGAAACTCATCACTTCTGGCTCTGAGCACGATGAGAAGCAGAGACAGTTTAAACATTGGCTTATAAAAAGACTACGCAGTGACGAGAGGTGGTGGGTAGCGAAAGCAAAAGAGATGGAAAAGGCAAAAGTAGTAGATATCAGTAGACAACTTGTAAGACTTATCAAAGAAGCTGGTATTAGAAATCCAACTGTCAGAGAGCATCTCTTGGGAAAAAATGGATTATTATTCATTCCCGTTCCCGGAGATTAGATTGATGAGCAGAACAATTTAGGGAACAGTTCAACTGACCTTCAGATGCACTTTAGTTACCCACGATTTTAAGTCAACCTGAATGGCAAATTGACTTAAGTCCCACAACTCTTAATGATGTCTAAAGCAGCAGGTCCTGAAAGATTAATCCTTGAGATTTTCGAGGATGGAGGTCTAGTCAAATTTTCAGCAGTGAGATTGACTGAGATCTTGGTTAGAATCTGGGAACTGGACGTAATCCCACCTGACTGATCTCAACCGCTGATTTTTCGCAGCCTATTAGAAAGGACAAAAGTCCTTTTGTCACAATCACACACGAATCAGTCTAACTTATATGGTGTATAAAATGCTTACTTACTTACTTTCGCCTGTTACCCCCAATGGAGCATAGGCCGCCCACCAGTTTTCTCCAACCAACTCTGTCCTGGGCTTCCCTCTCCAGTTCTGTCCAATGTTTGTTCATTCCTCTCATATCTTTCTCTATTTCTCGGCGTAGTGTGTTCCTTGGCCTTCCTCTTTTCCTTTTGCCTCGAGGGTTCCATGTGAGGGCTTGTCTAGTGACGCAGTTGGGTGCTTTTCGTAGTGTATGTCCTATTCACTTCCACCGCTTCTTCCTGATTTCCTCCTCCATTGGAATCTGACTTGTTCTCTCCCACAGTTCGTTGTTGCTGATGGTGTCTGGCCAACGAATCGGAAGTATTTTGCGTAGACAACTGTTAATAAACACTTGTATCTTCTGGATGATGGCTTTCGTAGTTCTCCATGTTTCCGCTCCATACAGTAGAACTGTCTTGACATTTGTATTAAGATCCTGATTTTGGTTTTGTTTGAAAGTTGTTTGGAGTTCCAGATATTTTTCAACTGTAGAAATGCAGCCCTCGCTTTGCCAATCCGCGCCCTCACATCTGCGTCCGATCCACCTTTCTCGTCGATGATGCTGCCCAGATATGTGAAGGTGTTAACGTCCTCCAAGGTATCTCCATCAAGCGTGATTCGGTTGGTGCATGTTGTGTTGCATCGGAGAATTTTGCTTTTTCCTTTATGTATGTTGAGACCTACTGCTGCAGAGGCTGCTGCTACACTGGTCGTCTTCTCTTGCATTTGTTGTTGAGTGTGCGATAGAAGAGCCAGGTCTTCTGCGAAGTCCAGATCGTCCAGCTGCGTCCTAACTGCCCAGTTGATACCGTGCTTCCCTCCAGATGTTGACGTCTTCATAATCCAGTCGATGACCAGGAGAAAGAGAAAGGTTGAGAGTAAGCAACCTTGCCTGACACCGGTCTTCACCTCAAAAGAGTCTGTCAGCTGACCTCCGTGCACGATTTTGCAGTTGAATCCATCATAAGAATTCCGTATGATGTTGACTATCTTCTCAGGCACACCGTAGTGTCGAAGAAGCCTCCACAGTGTTTTCCTATCCACGCTATCGAATGCTTTCTCGTAGTCGATGAAGTTGATGTAGAGTGGTGAGTTCCATTCAATTGATTGTTCCACAATGATCCGTAATGTAGCAATTTGGTCAGTACATGATCGATCCTTACGAAATCCGGCCTGTTGATCTCGAAGTTGGGCGTCTACGAAGTCCTTCATTCTGTTTAACAATACTCTGTTGAAGACTTTGCCTGGTATTGAAAGAAGAGTGATGCCTCTGTAGTTTTCACACTTGCTGAGATCGCCTTTCTTTGGTATTTTGATGAGGTATCCTTCTTTCCAATCTGATGGTACTTGTTCCTCATCCCAAATCTTCTTGAAGAGAATGTGAAATATTTTCGCAGTTGCTTCCACATCTGCTTTCATTGCCTCTGCTGGAATGTTGTCTGGTCCTGCTGCTTTGCCGCTCTTGATTTGTCTGATGGCTATACTGATCTCCTCAATCGTGGGTGCGCCAATATTAATTGGGAGGTCCGTGGATGCTGCTTCGATGTTGGGTGGGTTCAGTGGAGCTGGTCGATTCAATAGTTCCTTAAAGTGCTCCACCCACCTATTTCGCTGTTCGTCAGTGTTGCTGATTATTTTCCCTTCCTTGCTTTTCACTGGTCGTTCTGGTTTACGATAGTTTCCGGCGAGCTTCTTTGTAGTTTCGTACAATTGTCTCAAGTTTCCTTCTCTTGCAGCCTTTTCCGCCGTCATTGCTAGATCTTCCACATATTTTCGTTTGTCAGCTCTGATGCTCTTCTTCACTTCCCTGTTTGCTTCTGTGTATGCAGCTTGTGCGGTAACTTTCTCCGCTCTTGTTCGGCTGACATTGATTGCTGCCTTCTTGTTCCTCCTTTCTTCAATTTTCGCGAGAGTATCAACAGAGATCCATTCCTTGTGATGGTACTTCTTGCGACCAAGGACCTCCCGACATGTTGAAGTGATTGCCTCCTTAATCCCTTTCCAATTGTTCTCCAATGTTGCTTCCTCTCCATTGAGTAGATCCTGAAAGGCCTGGAACCTATTGGTGAGGGCTATCTTGAATTCGTTGAGTTTTACGGTATCCCGAAGAAAGGCCGTATTAAACTTCTGTGATGTTGTCTGCCCCGTTGTCCAGTGCTTCTTTAGCTTCAATCTCATTTTGGCGATCAGCAAGTGGTGATCTGAAGCTATATCAGCTCCTCTCTTGGTTCTCACATCCTCCATGGTCCTTCTGAACTTTTTGTTGATACAGATATGGTCAATTTGGTTTTCAGTAGTGTGATCCGGTGAAATCCATGTGGCTTTGTGAATGCGTTTGTGCGGGAATATTGTGCCACCGATGACCAGTTTGTTGAAGGCACATAGGTTTGCAAATCTCTCACCGTTTTCGTTCCTTTCTCCCAGTCCATGTCGTCCCATGATGTCTTCATATCCAGTGTTGTCCATTCCAACCTTGGCATTCAGGTCTCCCATAAGAATCGTCAAATCCTTTGGTGAACATTTATCAACGATTGACTGCAGCCCTTCGTAGAATTGATCTTTAACGTCGTCATTGTAGTCATTGGTAGGTGCATAACATTGGATGACGTTCATTGTAATGTCCTCTTTCTTTGTTTTGAAGGATGCTTTAATGATCCTCGGCCCATGAGATTCCCATCCTATCAGTGCCTTTTGTGCATGTTTGGACAGCATCAGTGCAACTCCTTGTGTATGTGAAGCGTTTTCCTCTTCATGACCAGAGTATAATAGCAGTTCCCCTGAAGCAAGTCTCAGTTGTCCTACCTGTGTCCAATGTGTTTCACTGATCCCGAGCACCTCGAGGTTGTATCTTTTCATTTCTGCCGCAACTTGAAATAGTCTTCCAGTCTCCCACAATGTACGAACGTTCCATGTACCTAAAAAAAATGGTTGCTCTGGTTGTCAGAAGAGGCATCGGCCCCGTGACTTCCGAGGGGACTCGGCTTTCATCACGAGACGTCATAATTCTTCTTCCAACTCCCAGGGCAGAGTTAAAATGGTTTGAATTATTTTTTCTGGTTAGCGTTGTTTTGGCAAGTTAGATTTCAACGGAATGGGGCCGCCAACCCCATGTCCAACCCTCCTCCTTTATCCGGGCTTGGGACCGGCAGTAGCCCCTAAGGTTCTACTGGCGGAGGTATAAAATGCTAGCTTTAATAATACTTCAACGCCTAACTAAGGCTCATGAAGAGTAACCTCGAGAAAACCAGACTGGTTGCAGACCTGAACATGGATGCACAGACCAAATGTTCAGACTTTGTCGGGTCCTACAATATAGAAACATATTTTGATGCCCCACAATAGTTGTATTCTCAACCTTTGTTGATTGCTAATCGCTACTGACTAAATTTATGAAACAATCAGAAAAATCATACGCAAGAAACAGATCAAACAGGGATACATTCAAAACAAAGGTGAAAACAACGATAGGTTCAAGAACAATAGCAACCAATCAATATTAAGGTTAACAGAATAAGCTACAGGTCAAACGTGGGGAAATTCGAATACTTCACTTCTACCTGAAGTTTGTGCTGATTATGTTGTTCAGACGAATAATGAAAGCTCCACAACGAAAACATTCAGCTCAGAGAACGAAACACCACCACAATCATCCACCTGAGCCACAAATGTTCTCTACCATCTTGAGCAACAATGCAAGGAAGTTTGTAACATTATGCAATTCTCCCTCCCCCCACACTATATGCAAAATTTCGCTTCAAGACTGGCTAGTGATAGGGAGTGAAGTAGTTGAGCGTGTCGACCGCTTCACCTGTCCTAGGAGTTTTGCCAGTCCTGATGGCCTGGTTGTGACGAAATCTCGGTACGGATACAAAAGGCTCGACTGGCTCTTGCCAACTTGCGTCAATTTTAGTGTAGACAAGATATCCGTCTGTTAACCAAACAACGAGTTTACTGATTAGCATTTCGCTCCGTCCTACTATACGGACGTAAAGAGTGGCCACTAAGAATAGATATTCGCAGTTCACTAGTATTCGATCATAGATGTCTTCAAAGCATTACTTATATGTCCTGGGACAATCGAGTAAGCAATGCTGGGGTTAAGAAAAGGATACTAGGTAAGGAGTGTAAATCAATTAATGAAGTAGTGAATCTTCATCGGTTGAGGTTATGTATGCCTAACCATCGACGAGCGATGTTGTCAGATGTAGGAGTAGGCTGGAAGAAAGCTAGGGGCGACAAAACAAAAACATGGCAACAGTCCATAAAGTAATTGACATTTAAACTGAGCCATATTAGCAGGTGTAGACTACCTGGTTGGGGTCTACGAGACGATAGTAACCGATGGTTTGAGACTTTGAATGGGATGGCTCAAAATTGTTTGCAATGGTGCTGATGCACCTGTTCTTTGACTTTTCTCAAATTCTAATACTTTAAATTCCCCATGACCTTTTATCTCTTTTTAAATCCACGTCACTGGATCATACTCCTTGAATCAAATCTTTAATCAACCAATCTTTTCGATTACCACTAATGATGCTACAACCTATACTACTATGGAAAATGAACTTACAAATTTATCCGACTGTGCTAATGTGGTATGGAAACTTGAACTAATATACGTACGTACTAAGTTCTACGTTGTAGCTGATTGACCAACTCAAATAGCTAGCTTGGAGAATTAGCGGATATCATGTTTAGACCTCGGACACCACAGACCATGTTAGATAGTTAACATACAGTTTAAGAATACGTCAATTTTAGTTTCAGAAGATTCGTGCTTCAGTTTAATGAAAATATGTTTATTAAATCGGGTTTACGCTTATCGATACGGTGAAGGAATACATGATCCAACAATCAAATTCAGAATCATATTCAGAAATTAAGGTTATGTCTAAATTTATAACTGATGCGTTTCCTATTACAATATGGAACTATTTTATCGTAGAAAAAAATGAACAAAGTCTTTTCCCAGAGTTTACTTTGTTAATGTTCAAATATTCTTTTGTAAGAGTTCCACTCATTACATTTATCTAGTCACGTGAATCTAGGGCACAAGTTTTCAATGAGTTCAAATCCAATGACAGTAAATGTTGTTTATCCTCACAATGTAGTCACTTATAGTGAATTCTCTAGTCGATGTGAGAAACATGTTTTAGATGAGTCATATTGTGACTAAATTTCAGATGTCAATATAGATGTTGAATGATGTCATAACTTAGACCACTTGGAATTCTATGTCCATCGCCAGTGTTACGTTTCCTATTTGATAAGGCGAATATGGAAGAATATAACTTTGACACTTATTGCAGTAAGCACACAGACACAGACAGACAACGAAGAACTTCGTACATAAGTACATCAGTTCAGGTTGCCATACCACGTCAGCATAGAGACGTAACTGTCAGTTCAAATCCAAGAGTGATAGCGATAGTAGAATTATTAACAGCAATGGAGAAGATTAGGGAGCAAAGATATGATTCGAAAAGTATAATTCAGTGAGATAAATTTAGAAGGAGAAAGACAGAGATTATGAGGAATTCAGAAGGTTAGAATCAAAAAGCACACAAAGAGTGGATGCACCTGAGCCACTGCAAACGATTCTGAGCTATGTCGTTCAAGGTCTCTAACCATTGATGACTTTTGTCACGCGGACCCCAACCAGATAGCCTACATCTACCAACATGACTCAGTCCACTTGTCAGTGACTTTATGGGTTTCTATTGCAGTAAGCGGTTGCTTTGTTTTCTGCTGCATTTTGATTTGTGACTTGAGGGAGGTTTTAATAGCTCTAGTGTCAAAGTTATACTCCGTATGAATCGTATCAAGTAGGAAACTTAATAGAAAGGATGTCTGAAAAAATTACTACGCCAAAATGTTGGTTTTTGAAATACTGCTGTGTGACAGTTAAATATAATGAAAGATGAATATTATCAAGTTAAAGATCAACTTCTAATGTATTCGTTTGGGACATTTTACATATTTCGTTATAATTAATTTAAAATACGTGTTTATAAGTTTACTGCATTAGAATTAGCTTGCCTGTTAAGTCATATAACTAAAATTATCCATAAATCCACTTTCGTTTCCTTATTTAAACACAGTCTCGTGAAATACGAACCAGAAGAGTTAGAACATGAAGTATCAACAAGATATATTCTACTAAGATATTAAAGTAGTAAGGTTGTCTCTGAATGAACAAAATGGAATAATCAGAAATGAACACACTTACTTGTGCAACACCAGTTACTGTGATAGGAACCCCAAGTTGGGTGTAGATTCGTGGGCTTTCGATAATTAGTGTCATTGTATTTAGTGGAATTCTTTATTTAATTTTCGAAAGAAAATATGGACAGAAAACAAACAGGTAAACACAATGTGTGAGATAATTTATTGATAAAAAATAAACTAACTAGAAAAGGTCAGATGTCAACAATCAGTCAGTCAGTCAGTTGCAACGTAGAACTTCGTACGTATGTACATAAGTTCATGTTGCCATACCACATTATTAGCACAGAGACGCAAATGTCAAATCAAATCCCATAGTGATAAAGATGGTAGAGGTATTAATGTTATAATAAAGAAGACTAGGGTTTAAGATATTATTCAAAAAATATAATTCAGTGAGATAAGGTTAGAAATACAAAGGTAGAGGTGCTGACGAATCCAGAGGATTAGGATTTGAGAGAGCTAAAAGAGTGGATGCACCTGCGCCATTGCAAACGATTTTGAGCCATGTCGTTCAAGGTCTCTAACCATTGATGACTTTCGTCTCGCGGACCCCAACCACGTAGTCTACATCTACCAACATGACTCAGTCCACTTGTCAGTGACTTCATGGATTTCTGCCATGTTTTGGTCTGGCCGCCCCTAGCTTTCTTCCAACCTACTCCTACACCACAAAACATAGCTCGTCGAGGCAGTCGGTGGTTAGGCATACGTAACACATGTCCCAACCACCTCAACTGATGAAGTTTCACCACTTCATCGATTGATCTGCCATCCTTACCTAGTACTCGTTTCCTAACGACAGCATTGCTTACTCGGTTGTCCCACGATATACGAGCAATGCTTCTTAAACATCTATGATCGAATACTAGTAACCTACGAACATCTTCTACTCTTAACGGCCATGTTTCACAGCCATATAAGAGAACGGAACGAACTGCTGCGCAGTACACCCGCCCTTTGGTTAGCGAACGGATATCACGCCTACGCCATAAGTGACGCAGCTTGGCAAAAGCCAATCGAGCTTTCTGTATCCGAGCTGAGATTTCGTCAGTCACCAGACCGTCAGCACTGATGAGACTCCCCAGATAAGTGAAGTGATCTACACGCTCGACTACTTCACTCCCTATCACTGGTTGAGGTGCCGAATCAACCCAGTCTTGAAGCAACATTTTGCATTTCGAGGGGGAAAACCGCATCCCGAACATGCTCGCATTGTTGCTTATGGTAGTCAGAAGACTCTGCATTTTGTCAGCGTCTTCACCGAATAGAACTATGTCATCGGCATATTCTAGATCAGTAAGCGACTTTCCTGGTAGAAGGTCAACCCCTGAAAAATCTGACGAGCTTAATGTTAACTCTAAGAGGATATCTACGACAAAGTTGAACAAGAATGGAGAGAGTGGACAGCCCTGACGGACACCACTTGATGTACAGAATTCAGATGACAGTTCGCCATATGCTCTCACCCGACCAGTGGTGTTCGAGTAGAGTGCTTGTATAAGGTTAATGTACTTCTTTGGTACACCTTTCAATGACAGACACTGCCACAGAACCTCACGATCCACTGAGTCGAATGCCGCCTTAAGGTCCAGGAACACGACTATTGTCGGACGCCTAAATGTGTGTCTGTGTTCCAGGACCTGTCGTAGTGTGAAGATGTGGTCTATACAACCACGTCCAGGTCGAAAACCAGATTGGTTTTCTTGAGTCTGCTCTTCGCGAGCTCTAGTTAGACGTCTAAGTATAATCGAGGCTAACAATTTAGAAACTATATTAGTTAAACTTATTCCCCTGTGATTGTCACAAGAGGACTTCTGTCCTTTCTTGTAGATTGGGACAATTAGCGACTGAGACCAGTCAGATGGGATTACGTCCATTTCCCAGATTCTACCTAGGATCTCGGTCAGTTTAACCGTTAAAACTGGACCACCATCCTTAAACATTTCAGGGGTAAGCCTATAGATGTCAACAATATAACAGCATGAATTCTAAATGGTATTTATTTCAACATATAGAAGAAGAAACAGAGAGATACTTTAGTGACTAAAGAACATAGGTTGAATTCTTGAAATGCACATTTGAATCTGTTTCCATCTAATGTAATTTCAGCAGCCGCATAGCATTATTAACGCTTACAATAGGAGTGGTGCAAGATCAAACAGAAAATCCGTTTGGTACCTGAGATGCACGCTTATTCAAAGGTTTATACCGAATTGACTTGCAGTTTTTTCAGTATTAACCTCAGGGGAATCGTTTGAGCAAGACTCAAAGTAACAAATAAATTACGTTAACATTATTTGCGGGTATGTTCCTAAGTCCAAGTGCTTACTGATTAGCTCTTTTCGAACTCAATAAAAATCTGTGTAGACTGTGTAATATAGTCAATATGAAAGAGATGGGCAAGACGGTACACCTTGTCAATAACTTTCTTTGTCCTGAAAAATTACTTTAGGTTTTGATAACAAAAACCTAAGATCGGAACACGAAAATACTTAGAAACTTTTATGTTGCTACTTTTGAAAGCTATGGAATTCGTTTCTGTATCAGATAGTAATTCAAGCACAGAGCTCTCGGCCCTGGAATGACCATGAGTGGGGACATTTCGCTTTCCCCCTCAAAATGATTTCATACGGCCATGCTTGTATAACTATTGACAGGGAAGTCCTGCTCACTGCATTCGTGTGACATCGACGTTATTTATTTAGTTAGGAGGATGAAAGGAATTTCCGGTGTTTAAAGCGGGTTGGTGAGTACGGGACATTCACCTAGATGAGTTGGAAAATCTTGATTGCAAACCTATGGTGCACATGGGTTTTAGAATTCTGAAGCGACGAATGTCAAAGGAACCTGTTGTTGGTCATTGGCTGCTATGACACTACATCTCCTGACATTGCTTTACTACCTTGTGGAACGGATTCTTAGGTAAAGGCTCGAAGAGTGGCTCCTTAAGAAAACTAGCTGCCCCGGGTTCGGGCACTTGAGCAGTAACTCAGCCCACAGACGAACATTGATTTGTGTAGCGCATATATATATTTCGGTGAGTTTTCATAACAGTCATGTGTTTAAATATATAAAAATCAAAAAGCTAGAAAAATACTCTGGATCAAATGGTGCTGAAGGAGATAAATCTAGGTGCCTTTTTTAAATTACTTCCAATGTTCGTTCTTCATTTTATCGAAAACTGAACTCAATAATATTACCTGCCTAACTAAAAATGTCATCAGTAAATAAAACACAGATCTCAAGGAACTAACGATTTTATTCAGAAAAACTTGGTATTTTCTAAAAAGCACTAATGGAAAAAAATATAACACCCAAGGTCATGGCCGAATTAGGCCTTAAGATGTGGGTTTTGACTGCAGAACTACCTATGGTACATTGAAAAGAATTACCATGTACGTTTAGAACTGATTTGCTTATATTTTATGGGAACATTCTCACCTTTCTATTCTCTGAATTCCTGGCCAAACAAACACTCGTCCACCAGGAATCAGCAAAGGACTTTTATGGAAGCAACCTGTGATAATAAAAAACAGTTAGTGCTTAACATTTGAATAACCAGAGACAACCATAGCCTCATTCGGGCCGCAGGTATTGAAACCCCAACCCATTTTAGAGACGAAAACTTGAAATGTCTCTCATTTTGAGGTCATAAGGTTGACCTTAATAAATAGTTCCAATATCCAATATCTTTTTCACGAGCTAGTATAAACCAATTGATTTCTTTGAGCTCGATTCTTGTTCTTTCGGTATGGTCCCAGGTGTTCGGTAGTGTCCAATGGATGAGGGTCTATCCACTCAACTGTCTAATTCTAGTCATTTGGCAGCTGGTAGTGAGTTTGTATGTCTCGGGATTTGAATGAAACGTTTGTTTCAGGGCAGTAGGATTTCTGGATACCAGCAACTATCACATTACCAGACCGGAGATCAGTTGGTTGCAATGTGGAGAATAATAAGGAAAAAATAGGATAAAACTCTAATGCTAATATGAATAGGATTTCAGAACTAAGTAAATCAATAGATAATTCAGTTTATTAATTGGTACTAAAGATTGTGAGGGAGAACTGAAGTATAAGCGCCACCTGTAACTCAGGTGGAATAATCCCGAGTGCTGGAGTCAATCTTCGCTAGGTTTGTTCTTCAGCCCTATCACCCATTTCGTTGCTCGTCTCTGCACTCGATCCAAGAGATTTATGTTTCTTTTAAGCAGAGGGGGTGCAATGACATTGTAAACCTCCAGGTGTGGGCGCGCGTACCCCTTAAATAGTGTCTTAAATAAATGCGAGGTGATAGCATTAAGTTATCTTTGCATAAAGTGAAGAGTCGCATTTGCCTTGGCTGCGTCCCCTTCACAATTCGGACTCGTGTGGAGGCTTCCTGTGGTTATTAAACCAAGATCACACTCTGAGGAGACATTAGGGAGCGAACCTTCACTGAGGTTGTGAACCGTTTGAGTCATGTGCGGCAGAATTTGCATGAAGTGACATTTTGGCTGGTTTAGTTTTAAACCATTTTTCACTGTCACTCCTTTTGAAGCTCAGTCGAATCCTCTTCGATTTTAATGGATCTCCGGATCTTTGCATTGTCTGAGTAGATCAATGTCGGCGAGCTAACTGTGTTTAACAGGCCGTTAATAAATATCAGGAAAAGACGCTGACATAATATGGTTCCAATATACTATATCCAACAGTACGAATGTTAAACAGTTTTTGGCTGAACGAATCTAAGGTAAACGTGTGGGCTGGAAATAATTTAACGAAATAATAATGATCCCAATATATTTGAATCTTCGGTAGAACTCAGAGAACTTGGATTTGAAGTACTTAGTTTGAATTTATACTGTATTTTCCAATCCCACTTAAACGCAGTATCAAACATTTTGAAGTACGATGAAATTATTTACTATTCACCACATCCACCGCAGGTTGGATGTCTATCTTGGTGTCCATAATATAGTCTTGGCCTTTCTGTAATTCTGCTTTGTCTTATGAATTGTTCAGTATTCTGGTTTCCCTTATCATCTATCCGAAATTTCGAATTATCTAAAATGTCATCGTTAAAGATGGAATCATTGTAAGTGAGGTTAGAAGTATCTGAAGTTCCGAGTTATCTACGGATTTAGGATCAGTTACAGAATGGTCATAACTGGAATTAGAATCACCTAGTTCATTAACCTCTAGTAAGTTAACATGTATGCTGTAAACTTAATAGTCATTCTAATCAAAATCTCCTCCATCCGACTACTCATTCTTTGAATTGTAATTCCTATAGATTGTCGGCGATGGTCTCTTCCGTAAAACCGTTCTTCCAATGATGTTTAATTTACGGAATGATTTCGATAAATGCTAGATTTGAAGAGTTTAACCAGATTGTCATAAGTTCTTAAAAGCTCTGGGTTACAATATTCAAGAAAGAAACTGTCAGTGCATTTTTCTAGTTTTTCCTGATTACTTGGATCTACTGACGCCACAGTACTGGCTAATCTTCAAACGGAATCCCCAGCTGAACAATCACACTGAGTATGTTGTGGAGCTGTAAATGAATGTTGGCATCCAATATCATTAGGTCAGATACAAAATTCCTTTTCTTTGAAATGAGTTCCATTATCAGTTATGAATGCACTGGGGATCCCTTCAGAACTAAATATCTTCACTGATCTTTGAATAGACTTCCCTCTGGGACTGTTTGTATGTACTTCTTCTGGCTGTTTAGAATATGGATCATCAACAACTAGAGCATCATATGAGTTTAGGATTAGTTCACAGTATTCTGCATGAATAATTCGTTACGATTCTTATGATGCAGGCCAAGGATTTCAAGCAGGTTTATTGTAAGATGGTTTATGTAAACAAGCAGGACAGTTTTTTGATTTCTGATTGAGATCAGCAGGAGCCTCAGACTATCAACAAGTCTCATGATTGAGTGATTTCATCTTCTCTGCTTTTAGATGGGTGGAGTGAGTATCATCTGGTACACATTTACCTTATTATTTCTTGTTTTATACAAACCTGCCTTTAACTGGCATTGATTCTCAATCAGTAGTGTTTCGTCGCAACACAAAATACATAACTCGCACTAACTACTGTAATGTACATTCCGGAGTCTGAAGCATTATTTACAATTTTATGTGAAAAATATTAGCCGTCTATAAAGAGCCAGTGTATCATGTTAAACATTTACCTTACTGAACAACAGTTCGCATTAAATATGTTAACAATTATAACATGCTGATCTTGCTCTGAACTCTCCAACCCCTTTTGATCGGGTTTCAAACAGTTCGAAAGTACTTGAGAACATTGTTTCGTTATATCAACTGGAAAAGGTTAGACCAACATACAATCATTTTCAACAAGTAACATTTTGAAATGCATGAGGTAAGATGAGGTGTGACATTTTTAGGGTCGACATTTTCTAACCCTTCTTTTCCTTGGAGGAGGCAGCATCGATGCGGAAACACCTTACTGCTGTCACACCACTTTGTAGTCAGTAGTACGACTTTACCCTCGGACCTTGAGTGGCTGCTTTTAGTCTCATCGTTCTCCAATCGACTTGCCTGACATGGTAGAGGCTACAGGAACATATGTTCCGGCTAATATAGCTCGGTTGGGTCATCACGATGGGAAACCTCGACCACCACGTCAAAGTAGCAGATACGGTCGAGTGACTCCATCCTGTTTACCACCACCTTTGTTATTCACATTTAGCACACCATCAACAGACACACGAAGTTTCACCTCCCCTCTATCATCGTTATTATCCACAGTGATATTTCTACAGTCCACGGTTGTTGAAATATTGCAAGATAGCTGGCATGCGTGCTTTGAGTGTAAACTACCGATGCCACCGCTACCACTTACATAAACATCACCACCACTACCAGTATCGTTATGATTAGTTGGACTAGTATTCGTAGTTATACTGAAACCTAAATGCGACTGACCATCACCTTCTGAATGAGAGCAAACATCAGCTGTACTTACTAAGCTACTATTATCTTTTACTCCAACACTATGATATCCAGTGTAACTAGATACTGCAGTACGGAGATATCCTGATCGCGCAGCAGTATGAACTGCTGTGTCACCGTTCATGCTTGCTATCCCAGGATCGGCCCTGTGTCGTGGCAAATAATCTACTATACGTGGAGGGTTCAGCACACCAGCTTCGTTCAATACAGTATTACCTATTTCATCGTGTTCGTTTATGTTCACTTCCTTCTTTAACATTAGTTTGCGCGAATCCAAATCCCCATTCCTTACCAAACGAATCAAAATCACACCTCGAACAGTTAGAGGACGTCTGCCTTCACGTTTCTCGGATCCTTCTTTACCCCTAACACTTTTCCTTACTTCCCTCATCGTTTTATTCGAACATCCGTTACAAGTTTCGTTATATCAACTGGCAAAGGTTAGACCAACATACAATCATTTTCAACAGGCAACGTTTTGAAGTATAGGTAACATGATAGGGGTCCGCATGTGGCATTTTTGGCCACTCAGTACTCAAAAGTAAAACCATAGGCACGCCATTCAAAGTTCCATGTCTGAACCATAGCTACGGTTGATCGACGGAGTGACTTAATCGGGTTCCAACTAAAAATTAAAGCTTGATAATCAGGTACAGTATGGAATTTCACGCCCAAAAAGTATTGATGCAGTCTACTTACTTATCATACCACAGCTAAAGCCTCCTTTCGGGTCCGAGAATATCCTTGTTTAGTCTCACTTAACCATTTCTAAATGAAAATAACTAGTTTCCTCTTCTGACCATAAAACTGCACCTAACCCCGATGAAGGTTCACCTGTAGTGAGGATAGATTTTTTAATTCATGAAAATGGTCTGAAAAAAGTACTTAACAAAGAAGTGTAAAATGTTTGTAAGTACCTTCTCATATCCCTGCTCACATTCAAATTGCTGAATGAAAGTATGATAATTAGAAGTATTTGAATTATAGAATGAACTAATAATCCCAGAAATAACTTAAGTGGATCAAGAACCACTAGATAAGCACGAAAGTATGTAATAATAATAATAATAATAATAATTTATTCTCAAATAACAAATATGTTGCAAGAGAAATTCCAATTTACAGGCAAGATCAAAATGTTAAGATTAGCAACATATTTCTTTCAAAACGGTATACAGTTACTGAAACATTTCACGAGATTCATCGGATTCCTAAAGATGGAATGTACAATCCGAATAATTGGCGCAAGTTACGAAGGTTACGTTACGACCATTTATTTAGAATTCGAAATCAGGCATTCAACAACCAAGAAGTCACTAGTTCATTCAAACACCACATCCGCCACAGCTTAAGTTGGAATCCAAGTGTCTGTAATCAATTGTTCATCCTGTGTCTGTCCAACAGTGTATTGGATAAAGACTCTGTATTATCTAGAATGCACTCATTAGTATTAGAATTAGCAACTGAAATCGGAACAGACTCACCTGGTTCCTGGAATTGTATTTGATCAACTTGTCGATTGTGTGTACTTAAGTCATTGATATCTAGAAGTCGCACCATAGATTTCCCGACATTCTTCAGAACAATCCCGGTGGATGGTCGAAGATCATTGCCACGATAATATGTAACTTCTGCAGACTCCAAACATCTCATATTCGACCGAAGAATTCTTCCTTTTAATAGTTTTGATGGAGTCTCTTTCGTCACCGAAT